ATAATCGCATCGGAGATGAAGGCGCTGCCGCCTTGGCAGACATGCTCAAGCACAACACGACCATCACGAATATCAAGTGAGGAGGTGGATATGTGCACGATTGTTGTTGTCGGAAGTACGGTCTTCAGCGTGCAATGTTGCCAGTGATGTGGAATGAACTGGTGTGCATGTGTTGCTGTTCCTGACTCGTTGTCCCTCAGCTGACGCCCTCTACGTACCGCCACTTCCTTCACATGTTAATGGCAGCTTGTACCATAATCGCATCGGAGATGAAGGCGCTGCCGCCTTGGCAGACATGCTCAAGCACAACACGACCATCACGAATATCAAGTGAGGAGGTGGATATGTGCACGATTGTTGTTGTCGGAAGTACGGTCTTCAGCGTGCAATGTTGCCAGTGATGTGGAATGAACTGGTGTGCATGTGTTGCTGTTCCTGACTCGTTGTCCCTCAGCTGACGCCCTCTACGTACCGCCACTTCCTTCACATGTTAATGGCAGCTTGGACGACAACCGCATCGGGCCTGAAGGCGCTGCCGCCTTGGCAGACATGCTCAAGCACAACACGACCATCACGAATATCAAGTGAGGAGGTGGATATGTGCACGACCGCTGTAAGCGCTCTTCCTCGTGAATCTCTCGCCAAAATTTAGGCATGGCCACCCCTGCACATCTTGCTCATGCCATCATTGCCGCCACTTACCCTCCTTTGTGCGTTCTCTCCGCAGCGTGAGCGACAACGGTATCGGGGATGAGGGCGCTGCAGCGTGGGCAGACATGCTCAAGCACAATACCACCTTCACATCCGTCGAGTGAGTGTGCGAACACATAGAAACGGTGTTCATCTTGAGTGCACTCCTGCGTTGGCGCATCGTTTGCTGCGTGCACTTGCGATGTGGGCTGCGAGTGCGTGTTTTCGTGTGTGGATGTTTGCGAATACGCGCAACCCATTGTCACACGCAAACACACTTTGCCTCTTTGCATGCCGTACTTTGTTGTTTGACCCACAGCCTGAGTAGGAACGCGATTCAGGACGAGGGCGCTTGTGCGCTGGCAGACTCACTCGAGGGCAACACCACGGTTTTCAGTGTGAGGTGGGCATAATTTTTTCAAAACGGCAGAGCTTCACGTGCCTGTGTGTTTGTGTGTGTGTGTGTGTGTGTGTGTGTGTGTGTGTGTGTTTGTGTGTGTGTGTAGGTGCCCTGATACTTTTAAGTGACTGATTGTCTTGTGTTGGTGTGCTCTGTTCGTTGCCTCTCACGACAACCAATCGTCTCCCGCGCTGCCACACCCCATCCTGCCTTGTCTCGATTTCATTTTCAGCTTGGACGGCAACTCCATTCAGGAAACGGGTGCTGTGGCTTTGGCACACACGCTCAAGCACAACAACACCATCAATTACTTCTAGTGAGGTTTTGAACAGTGCTGGGAGGGAGATGGGCTGTGCTACACACTTCTTGTTGATTGCTGTGTGGGTTCGGTTCGCACACGCAATGAACAGGCTTGTAAAAACGGTTTTACGCTGCTCAATGGAGCCCCCAGTGACTGTACTGCCTCGTTTCATTCTGTGATTCCCATACCACCATACTCCACCCTCATTCTGTAGTATTCTATTGTCCGCCTGCCCCACCCTTTGTTTGCCCCAACAGCATTGCCAACAACAGCACCGCCGCCGCCCGCGCCATTGGTGCCGCACTGCCGGTCAATCGCGAAATCGCCACAGGCTCATGGTGAGTGGTGGCTCGTGATGTGGTCATGTGTTTGAGTGTTTCTCTGTCGTGGTGTGGTGAAGTGTTGAAAAGTTTGTCTGTGACTTGAATCCCACTTGCGGTTGCCTTTCCACGCGTGCAATTGGCATTCATGCGTTGACTGTTTGTGCGACAACAGGTTCCAGGACGATGAGGGCCAGGCCGCCTTCAAGGAAGCGCGCATCGCCAAGAAGTATCAGCAACACGACTTATTTCTCAACTGCCAGAAGGGCAACGTGGACGGTGCTGTGTTCTTCATTGATGAAGAGAATGTGGACATCAACGAACAAGACACGGAGGTGTGCTGTGGAGGAGAAGTGGTGTGTGTGTGTGTGTGTGTGTGTGTGTCTGTGTCTGTGTCTGTGTCTGTGTGTGTGTGTGTGTGTGTCTGTGTGTGCTGCGCGCACCTTTGCCCACACAGCATTGTCATTCACCACGGCCCACGGCTGTTCTTTCTTGCACGCTTTGACAACGCTGCATGGACTCCATTTCATCCCAAAAAGGGCAACACGGCGCTGCATGTTGCCTGCAGGCACAACAAACCAGCGATTGTGAAACTGCTGCTGCAGAAGGGTGCCAACGCCGAAATCAAGAACGAAAAGGTGAATCCTTGGTGGTTTCTTGTAATTGCGAAATCAATTGACTCGTAAATTTCTACCAGACAGTGCACGCTTGTACGCAACTGTCTTAGCAGGGCATACAAATCACCGACGTTGACCAAGCACGGGGGATTGACCTGCCTCATTCTGGTCACTCACTACCTCCTTTACCCGATGCTCTATTCACCACCCTTTCTCGCCACTCCTTGCCTCCGATCAGGATCTGCCCATTATTGATGGGGAATGGCCGGACAGGTATGCGACAAATCTCATATCATCTAGTCTGCTTAAGCCTTGGAAATTATTTAGTGAAATTGCAATCTCAAAAGCGGTCTGTGACACCGACAGATTCTCACACACTCTCACACACACACACACACACACACACACACACACACACACACACACACACACACACACACACACACACACACACGTACCCAAACAGGGCGAGACGCCCTTTGATGTTGCGAAAGCCAAGCGGTGCACCGCTGTGACCAGCATTGATGGGCTGGATCCACATGCGCCCGGCGCAACAGATCAGCAGCAGCAGCAGCCACAACAGCAGAAACGCACGCCAGCGTCTGCTGACTCTGCTACCTCGCCCACAAAGCGCGCGAAGCAGGACGGTGGCAACTAAGGCCGATGTGCTTGTTTCGAAGCTGTTGATTGGTGTCATGCACGCACGTGGCTTCACCCGTTCCTTGTGTTGGCAGACTTCTGCTCCCCTCGTTGTCATGATTTTGTTTCTGCTCCCTGATTTGATGACCTTTGTTTTTGCATCTCGCTGTTACATTACAACTGTTGTCTTGTTGTGTCCCATTCATTCACAAGCATTCGAGTACGTTTCTTGCCTCTGCTCCTCTTTTTCTCTGAGCATCTCACGTTCTGATGCGCTTAGTGACGTGCTGTTGCGCACGCTTGTGTACTACTGCAAAGGATCTACCTTCTGTGCCCACTGTTGTATTGTCACATTACCGGAGCGCAAGCTCACATTTCGGAGGGAAGGCACTGCAAGCCTGCAAGCACACGTGCCCTTCTGGCTCCGGTGTTACTTTTCCTGTTTCGTGTGCACTTGCACCGTGCCGCAAGATGTCATGTTGTTACTACGGCCCCATTCAAGCGTTGCATTGATTTACAGTAAGACTGTAAGACCTTAAGACCACACACTGAGAGAGAGAATAAGTACACCAGTTCAACAAACGTCCCTGCTTGGGGACTGTGACTGACATGCAAGCATTCCCACGCTCAATCAAATCCACACAGCAAAGCAGCTACAGGTTCACCACACACACACACACACACACACACACACACACACACACACACACACACGTGTCACTACAGCATGGAACACCACGCGCCCCAATCCCCTTGCTGCCACACGCCAGCCTCCCCTTCCTCCTCCTCCTCTTCCTCCCCATCATCTTCGCTCGCCGCGGAATCCTCAGATGACTCTTCCTCCCCTTCCTCCCCTTCCTCCCCTTCCTCCCCTTCCTCCCCTTGTCCACCCCTTCCTGTTGGTGGAGGGGCATCACCCTGCTGAGCGCCCGCACGTCGAATGGATGCCAGGTTTTCTTCTGCTGTCGTCGTGAGCATGTGTTGTGGGCCCAGGTGCTGCCGGTACAGTGCGACCGTGGTGGTGAGCGCGTCCACCGCCTCCTGGAAGCGGCCCGCCTTCGCGTACGCGTACGCCGTGTACTCGAGCGTGCGTGCGGTGGTCGGGTCCTGCTCGCCGAGGGTCTGCCGGAACAGCCGCAGCGCGTGCTCGTAGCTGGCGATGCAGCGGTCAAAGTCGCCCAGCGCATTGTACATGTTGGCGAGGTTGCTGTAGGTGTTGGCGATGGTAGCATGCACGTCGCCAAACGCGGCGCGCTTCGCCTCCAGCGCCTTCTCCAGCAGTTTCACGGCCGTCTCAATGTCGCCCTTGCTTGCATACGCCAGGCCGAGGTGGTTGTACGTGCCGCCAATGGTGGGGTCGTTCTCGCCCCAATGCCCGCGCTTCAGGATGTCCAGCGCCTGCTTGTGGCACTCGATGGCCCTGTCGCTCTCGCCGGCGTCGTCATACGCAAGCCCGAGCGCGTTCAGCGTCGACACCAGCTTTGTGTCGTACTGCTGCTGCAGGTCCACACCACCTCGTGCGCCTTGCTCTTTGTCTCCCTCGCCGCCTTGCTTCTGCTGCTGCTGCTGCTGTTGTTTCGTGGCCTTGTCGCGGGCAGCGGAGAAGATGGCCAGTGCCTTCTTGAAGTGTTGGATGGCTTCCGCACAGCGGCCTGCAGCGTGCAGCGCCGTGGCCAGGTTGTTGTGCGCCTCTGCCGTGTTCTCGTCCTCCCCGTATTCCACGACCGAGATCTTCAAGGCCTTGCTGTAGCAGTCGACGGCTTGCTCGATGTCGCCCCTGTGGTAGTACACCACGCCCAGGTTGGTGTACGCCGTGCCGGTCGCCTTGTGCTGGTGGCCCACGACGCTGATGGTGGCCTGCAGGTCCTTGTTGAACAGCTCCGTCGCGTACTCAAGTGCGCCGAGCGCTTGCATCACCGTACCGGCCTGGCAGCACATGGTGGCATAGGCCTTGGTCTTTGTTGCGGCCTCGTCGCCCGGCTGCTCCATCTCCCGAACGAAGGAGGCCACCAGGCTCAGGCACCACTGGCGTATGGCGTCGCGCACGCGCGCGTCCACGAGTTGGGCGGTGGCGCCAGCCTGCGTGATTGCGTCGCAGATCATGCGCTTGTCCTGCGGCTTGGTGGTCTTGGCAGCGTCCACGCTGATGGCGTCCAGCATGGTTGTGAACGTCTCGGCAGCAGACGAGCTGAGCACGGCCGCCTTCATCGTCTCGCTCAGCTGCCGGTGCACCGCGGTGTCGATCTGCACGTTTGGCAAGCCCACGCCACAGAACACCTCCCACAGGCACCAAGCGCGCGTCAGTGGGAGCGGCTGCGGGAGCGGCAGCGGTGCGTTGGTGCTGGCGGCTGCAGCCGGGGTCAGCACAAGCAGCATCTTGCCAATACCGCCCACCGTGTTCAGCACCGTTTGCATCCACCTGTTGTGTGTTTTTGTGTGTGTTGGGAGTGGGTGGTAGGGGGGAGGGGGGTGAGGTAGACACAAAAGTGTAGCGTGCATGCATGTGTGTGTATGCATGTGTGTTTTGAGTTGGTATCAGTTCGTTGTTGGTGTTTGCTTGCTTGCAGGCACGGATCACGAATCAAATCCTTCTACAAACACACACGATCACACGCACACACAATCACAAACACACAATCACACGCACACACACGATCACGCACACACACACATACACACACACACACACACACACACAAACACACAATCACACACGCACACGCACACACCAGTCTGTGGTGAGGTCGTTGGCCATGTCCTCGTGTTGGCTGTGGCTGAAGATGTCGAGCCAGAAGAAGATGGGTGGGTCTTCCAGCCTGTCGGCTTGATTGTCTGCATAATAAACCAGTAGTTGCAGGACATCCATGGCTTTTGCGCCCCATGCGTGCGACACAAACACGGTGGCCCGCTGCACGTCTTCAGCCTCCTCTGCCGATCGTTGCCGCAGGACGTCGATGTATGCGCACTTGCACTCCGCTGTGCGTGGCACCACGAGCGTCTCGCACACTTGTCGCGTCGTCACGTCATGGGCCGTGTCTGGGAACGCGTCCTTGATCTCGGCCATGAACCGCTTCACCCCAGCCACAGACACGCCATCCAAAGGCATGTGTGGGGGCGCAGATGGTGAGGACATGGCTGTTGGATTGGTGGTTGGTCTGCGTTTTGTCTTGCTTGTGGAAGACTGCTGAATGATTTCTGCAAAGATTGTGCCGCGAACTGCTTGAATGGTGGGCTGATGTGAGTGAGCGAGGTTGTGGAGATGCGAGGTGGAAATGAGGAGATGCGACTTGGAGTGCTGTTTGCTATTGCTATGCTGCGCTGGCTGGTGCAGTCGCTTTCGCTTCTTCTCTTCGTCCTCTTCCCTTCTTGCCAAGGTCCTTCCTTCCGTCCGGCTTTCAGAAGCCTTTCAGAGTGTCGCTCAAGCGCTCACGCAGTGTCACATCTCAATAGCAATGTGTTTGTCACCAACAGAACAGAACATAACATTGTTCCACCCACGCACACAAGCTCTCTCACTCACACACACACACACACACACACACACACACTCTCTCTCTCTCTCTCTCTCTCTCTCTCTCTCTCTCTCTCTCTCTCTCTGCTTCGTCCGCAAAGCAATCTACAACAAGCACAATGGCCTGAAAGTGTGCCAAGGAAGAATGCAGACAGGCTGACGTCATTCCGTGGTTGGATGCAGCTGCCATTTTTCCTTTCCTTGCTTGCGTTGTTGTGGTGCTGGTGGGCTTATAATGTTTTTCGGTTCGCATTGCAGTGTTCGAGTGTTACGTTACCGAAATCTTCTACGTCAACGAGGAAGGTCGCATCTATTTTGTTCTTTGCAGCCATGAATCTGTGCGTTTTTTTTTTGTTGTTGACTCTCTGACTCTTGTGTTGTTGCCGTGGAGCTTCCTGCTCCAAACACTTCCGTGCCAAACACCGTCGCACGTGCTTGTTGGTTTGCGACCTTGAATCGCACCCACGGCCCTCACAGTATCGCATCATCCTTCAACGCACGTCCTTTCTCTTGTTGTTTGTCGGTGTTGAACAGGAAACCGTCATCGTTGTGTCTTCTCCAACGTTGTGTCTGTCATCACCCAGTTGTTTCAGCTGTCTGACATCACTCTCACATCACAACTTTTATTAGCCCATCGGCCTAGCGTGCAATGGGTGCATTTCATGACGTCACTGAGTGGTTGGATGCAAACAAACGTGAGATAACACAGGAGCAGAAAAGTCACAGCAACGAGGATTCCAGGATTGTGCACGGCCATTACCCGGCTGCTGTGCTTTCAAGGAGAGATATTTAAGCAAGGCAAGGCAGAAGAAGTAACACAGCAGCAATAGAACAAGGGTGTGATGTGCAAGGCGCACACTGACGGGAGCGTGTCAAGAGACAACTTGCACGTACGTTCAAGATGACAGCAAGAGACAAGGAACAGAGAGAGGGAGAGAGAGAGAGAGAGAGAGAGAGAGAGAGAGAGAGTGTGTGTGTGTGTGTGTGTGTGTGCGTGTGTGTGTGCGTAGATTACAAATCTCCCTCCACCAACAAACATCTCCTCCCCCCTCCCCCCACACACACATCACGTGTTCCTCTTGCGCTTGCCCTGCGTGAGCGCCGCCATCATCTCTGCTGGCGACCGGTTCACCAGAACCGCATTCGGCCACTGCCAGCGCTTGTCATTGCTGGTGCAGTCACGAATCACCAGGCACGTGACTGAGGTCAACGAGGCCAGGTCGTCAAACGTGCAGTCTTCCAGGATGAGGCGGTGCACATTGTGGAAGCAGGAGAAGCTCATGATGATGGTGAGCTGCAGTCGACATGTGGACACGTCGCTCACACGCTCAATACACAGCAATCGCTCTAATTTTGCACTATCGCCTGCGACCTTTGCATCACCACGGCCAGGATCATCACCATCAACGTCGTCATCATCATCACGACCACGACCACGACCACGACCACTCCCACCACCGCTGCCATCATCATCATCATCACCACCACACCCACCACCGCTGCCATCATCATCACCGTCGCCGTTGGCGCCGCACTGCGCCACTTTGTGTCGCGGATCAGGGCCCCATCGCAACCTGTGCGGGCCCACGCTCAGCCACGTGATGTGGGAGAAGACCACACTGCCATGACAATCGCAAAGGGTCACGTGGTCACAGTCGCTTATTTCGCCGTCAAGCACAACACCAGACATGCGGAGCTGCCTCCGCCCAGAGAGGACGCCCATGTTTGAAGCCCGCACACACCATCCAGTGAGCGAGAGAAGCGGTATGTGGGACCAGCAGGTGACGGAGACGCCGTCCTCAACAATCGTGTGCAGTTCCTTCACACAGGGTGGCAGCGACGTGGTTTTGGTGCACCTCGCGTAATCCAGACACATGTACACGTTGTCCGGCACCTGGAACAAGCCGTCCGCCGTAAATTTGTTGGACGGATCGGCCCGAATCACCAGCTTGTCCACACGGTGCGCTAGATAGGCCAACTCGGCGACGTCTGGGCCGTCACACAGTTGGAGATCAGCCTCTCGGGCGTGCTCAAACCGGGGGAGCTCTGGGCCCAGCGTGTCCCCATGGACGACGCCCAGCTTGTCGAGTCCCGGAGGGAGCTCTACCGCGAAGTCATCTTCGGCAGCGTTGTGGTCTGGATCAAGCTCGTCAAAGCGCAGTTCAATGTGGGTGGCGTTTGGAAGGTGCAACGGCGATGGTGCATCCACGAGATGCATGTTGCGCAGGCAAACCCGCTTCGCGTTGAGCGTGCTGGTGACAAGTGACGAGGAGTTGAGGCACACATCATCCACATCTGCGATAACGGACTGCCCACCCGCTACAATGCCTCCGAACACCAGCTTTTTCAAGGCGGTAAACGGGGTCAGGTCCATGCCTCGGCATACGGCCACCCTCAGGTCTTGCACGCCGGCAAACAGGCTGAGATCGCTGAGCTTGTTGAAGCCGAAAAGGCTGAGCCCGTGGACATTTGATACTTCGCCTTGCAGAGCAGTCTGCTCATACATTACGCGGAACCAGCGAACGTGGCCTATGTCATGGAAGGAGATAGTGTTCAGCACACCGCCCCCCGAGTCCAAAACAAGCGTGTTTGCGCTGCACACTCTCAGCGAGGCCAGGGGTGCAGTCGTGGTGATCTTCACCCTATCTGCACGGACACATGCATCATCGCCAACGAGAGTTGAGAAGTGCTCCTTAAAACGGTCAGCATCTGCTTGGCTCTTGAGTGTGACAGTGACATAGAGCAGAGCGGCGCGCGGCTGCTGCTGTGATTCGCGTATCGCGTCTTCTCGCGGTGTCATCCGCTGTTGCAGCCTGGGTTGCTGCTGCGAGCGCTTGTCATCATGTCGCTGCTTTTCCTCGCATTCGTCGTCGTCGTCGTCGTCGTCGTCGTCGTCGTCGTCGTCGTTGTCGTTGTGTTCTTTTTCCTCCCTCGGGTTCTTCCCCTTCTCCCTCAGATCTTTTTCATCCCAACACGGTTCCTCCCCACCTTCCTCCTCCCCACCCTCTGCCACTGCCCATGTTTCCAGGTCGTGCATGCATGTGAATGCGACGCGGCCGCACCGGGAAAACTTCAGCCAGAAGTCGTTGTGCCGAATGCTTGCCAACCGTGCTTGCAAGAAAGGGAGGTCGCTCGCCCATGTCACACCAAGCCAAGAGTAGGCAAGGAAGCGCTCTTCCATCCACGCCGACACAGTGGCGGCGTATCTGGCCGCACTGTCAGTGCAATCATCCTCGGTATCGGTGCCGCCCTTGTCTTCGCCTGGTGACACCAGCGGGGGAAGAAGCGTGGTCTGGAAAGTGTCCAGCCAATCTTGCACACTGGGGCCGTAGTCTTTGCTCCACGTGTCCTCAGCGTCGTCGTCTCCCGGTATCACTTCAGCCTGCTGTGAGAGACCTCTGTGAACGTCCAAGGGCTGCTGCCCCATCTTCACTCTCGCCAGCTTCCTCTTGTACTTGTCGTTGTTCGTTTGAGAGAGCACCGTGGCAAGGCACCACTTTGGCATGGCCCATGGCAGGTCGTGGTACAGTTCACGGCAGGTGAGCATCAAATTGAGGAACGTGCGTGCCCTGCCACAATCAGCCTTTGCTTTCACGTCAAACACCTCCAGCGTACCCGACGCATCATCGCCAATATTAGTTGCAGACAGGATCCGCGCAGCCACCAGCTTCCAGCACTCCATAGTGTGTGTGTGTGTGTGTGTGAGTGTGAGTGAGCGCGCGCGCGTGTGCGTGTGCGTGTGTGTGTGTGTGTGTGTGTGTGTGTGTGTGTGTGTGTGTGTGTGTGTGTGTGTGTGTGTGTGTGTGTGTGTGTGTGTGTGTGTGTGTGTGTGTGTGTGTGTGTGTGTGTGCGTGTGTGTCTTCATGGCACACCAGCACACCACCCACATCCGGTGCCTTTGCAGAAGTTCATGTATGCCGCTCATAATCTTCCAAACTTGACCCCACGAAAACACGAAAACGCAACGAACACACGCACCACCACCATGCTGCCACCCTTCTCGCGCCCGTTTGACTTGTGCTGCCTCTTCCCCATCTTGGTGTTGGCATTGGCTGGACAGCACGGGCTGTACCTTCACCGTGCATACTGGGCGAGCGATGCGGCGGCTTGGTTGGTGGAAGATGACGCGGGTGCATTCCACGTCAACACGAGCGATC